GACTCAGGAATAGTCATTAGAAATAAGGCTAGATTACTTTCTAAGGGGTATAATCAGATTGAAGGATTTGATTTTGAGGAGACTTTTGCCCCTGTAGCCAGACTTGAAGCAATTAGGGTTTTGCTAGCCTTTGCTTGTATTAAAGGTTTCAAATTATTTCAAATGGATATGAAAAGTGCATTTTTAAATGGGGTAATTGAAGAGGAAGTCCTTGTAGAATAACCTCCAGGTTTTGAAAATTCTAAATACCCAAATCATATTTTCAAGTTGAAAAAGGTATTATATAGATTAAAACAGGCACATAGGGCTTGGTATGAGAGGTTAAGCACCTTCCTACTTGAAAGATTTTTTGAAAAAAAAAGTGTGGATACAACTCTCTTTTTAAAGAAATTTGGAAAGGATATACACATTTTTTCAAATTTATGTGGATGATATCATTTTTGGATCTTCAAATAAAAATCTTTGTGATGATTTTCCTAAAATAATGAGTAGTGAATTTGAGATGAGTCTAATGGGAGACTTAAATTACTTTTTAGGCTTTAGCATTAAGCAACTTGAGGAAGGTACATTTCATAGTCAATCTAAATATGTTAAGGACATCCTCAAAAAATATGAAATAGAAAATGTTAAACCTGTTAGTACACCAATGAGTTCCTCAGTTCAGTTGGATAAGGACCTTAAGCGAAAATCTGTTGATAAAAAAAAATTTAGAGGGATTATTATATCTTTACTTTACTTGACTGCTAGCCGACCATATATCATGTTTACTGTTTGCTTGTATGCTAGATTTCAATCTGATCCAAAAGAATCACATTTCACAGAAGTGAAAAGGATTTTAAGATACTTACTAGGAACTCAGAACTTAAGAATATGGTATCCAAAGTTTAGCTCTTCATTTGAAATTATTGATTATTCAGACTCTGATTTTGCAGGCTGTTGGGTGGATAGAAAAAGCAATTCTAGAACATATCAATTTATTGAAAATTCATTAGTTTCATGGTCTAGTAGAAAATAAAATTCAGTGGCACTATCTACTGCAGAAGCAGAATACATTGCACTAGGAAGTTGTGTGGCACAAGTACTTTGGTTAAAACAATAGTTGATTGATTTAGGAATAACTATAGGCACTATGCCAATTTATTGTGATAATACTAGTGCTATCTGCATTTCAAAAAATCCTATTCAACATTCAAGAACCAAACACATTGACATAAGACATCATTTCATAAGGGATCATATATCCAAGGGAGAAATTGAACTTACCCATGTTTCAACAGAAAATCAACTTGCAGATATTTTTATAAAACCTTTAGCCTTTGATACTTTCAGTACATTAAGAACTAGGCTTGGAGTGATTGATTTAAATGCTTAGATAAAAATATTTTCTACAACATTGATATTTTTTGTTTTGTGTTCATTGTAATTTTTAGTTTGTTTTTGTGATATTTTCTTCTTAAAAAGGTATGTATTTAAGTTTGTCTTGTTTGTTTTTATTCTTTTTTGTTTTTGAGTGTGAAAATGTAAACTTGTGGTCGTCATCATCCGGGATGAAAATTCTTCGTACGGGACGATTTGTGTAAAATGACAAACTGAGTAATTTCGAACCGTTTTAAGAGCAGTTTTTAATGTAATTCGTCTGTACAATCATCACGATCGTTCGGGACAAAATATTTTTAAAACGACGGGATGAATGAATGCAGCAGTTGAATGGATAAGATAGTTTTTAATATAAACTTCATCCATACGAACCTTTGGTTCGTCCAGACGAACACATGTCGGTTAATAGTGGGGGATGGTTTCTAACTGCCATAAAAATGAATTAAATTTCTGATCGTCCAGACGAACACGTGTTCGTCTGTACGATCATTTTGGTCAAAAGCTTGTATGAAAGGTCGCTTCGTAAATTATGTGTTTATGAAAAGCCATTATTTTTTAAACTCATTCGTTCGTCTATACAAAATATTTTCGTACGGGACAAATCGAATTCATATGGGATGAATAAAATTTTCGTCTGGTACGAAAGGTCATTTTTCTTTAAATTGAAGGTAATTTTTACTTAACAGTCACTTTCACACATCTCTTTCAAATCTTTCTTCTCTTCAAATCTTTCAATGGCAAGTTCTAGCCAGCGCCAAAAGACCTTGGCTAAGGGTCCACCAAGAAATACATCTGAAAACTTCCTTTCTAGAGCCAATGAAGAATCCTTTGCTAGGTTTGTCTCTGCAAAAATCACCCCATCTAGAGTTCTCCTACAGGAATCAATTAACCTTTTAAGGTATTGCACTTTGTTTGCCTCTTATAATATAGGTTAATATCGACACTTTTACAGCTTCTACATAGACGAAACCTTTTCAGCCATTTTTTGGAAACAGTCATTTCAACTCTGACCATCTGCATCATGTTTTTTTATTTTCAAAAGAAATTAAAAATCACCAAGAGCCGAACTTTGGGTATCCTTCTAAACTTAAGGACCTGAAGGTCAGCTTAAGAGCAGCACACGCTTCCAACCAATGAAAGGTTTTATTGGACTATGAAGTTAATCATAGTGATTAAGAGATAAGGAGTTAAAGGATCATTTGCCTAAAGTATAACTTTAGTGCGTGATGCTCGTATTCATCAGCACGTACGTTAAGACTTTCCATTATACCTAACTGAGCTGTAGTCAAATCATATTTCTTTCTACTGTTACTACATATAAATGACAAAGGGACACATATAATGGCCCAATTAATGAATAATTTATGGTCTCTCTGAATTGGTCATGTTGATCATAAAAGAAAGAAGAACATAGATTATAATGATTCCCATATTTTGGAAAAGAAGTATGATTTAATTTCTTCAGAACAAAGACTTTGAAGAAGCCACTCACTACACGACGCTCCTTTAGGGCTATTCTTCAAATCTGTCATTCTGAGTGAAACAGAAGAAGAAGCCAGACCTTCACATGCTGCTGGACCAAATTATCAGGATTTGGTTCAATGATTTGACAATTTAGAGGCTAAGTTTGATCAAAGGTTTGATCAAATTGAAATTCATTTGCAGCAGCAAGATATTCAGCACAATCAAGATATGGGATTTATGCGTGATTAGATAAATGCCATTAATTCCAACATGTTTATGATGAGTAGTTACTTCAACTTCTTTGGTGAAGCACCACCTCCTCCTCCAGATCAGGGTCCATCTAAATGATTGTAGTGTTTGTTCAGTGTTTCTTTGTAGTTCATGTGTTAGTGATTTCCTTTAGTTTATTGTATTTTCCTTATTTTAGTTGTGTTATTATTGATATCTTGAACTTCAAATTATAATAGCTTCATTCGATATCAATATATGTTCCAATGTTTTATTGTTTAATATTTTAGAAATATATGTTAGACTTTATGATTTTCATTTTTTTTAATCTTAACAGTGCTTTATTCTAATTTGTAAATTAAAATTAATTTCATTAGAAAATATAATTATTCTAAATTTAAGAGATGCTTATAACTTGATATTATTAGAATTTTCAATTCCATGTCTCTTATTTAGACTATATTATCTTTAATATTATTATTATTATTTAGATATTTTCTTATTTTGTATTTCTCTTTTCAATTAGTATTTATGCACTTAGAAAAATTTGAAATTTTAGATTATTTATTTTGGAAAGAATTCAATTACTCTTGAAAATTGTACAAATGTACAAAAATCAAAAGGATTGTGCAAAAAAAAATTGCAATGATAAAAAGAGGCACAAAATAAGTCCAAAGTAAAAAAATGCACAAAAATGTGCCATTAAAATTGAAAAAGATGCGCAAAGCGCCACATGTGATAATTACTTCTTTCCGGACTGTTTTAATCTCTTAATTCAAATTGATCTAATGTTCATTTATAATTGACATTGAAATTTAAAATATAAAATTTTTTATTCAACCTTAGTACAATGATTTTCTTTATCTTAATGTCTAAATTGACACATGTCTTTGATAAATTCTTTTTATTCTCTATGTTATATCTCTTCTTAAATTATATGAAATTTTTATTATTTTTCTAATGTTTTGATTTTATTTCCATACCTTATTTCAATCACTTTCAAGATTAAAATATCAAATAAATTTCGTACTTCTGCTTACATTTCTAGCCTTCTTTTCTTATCACTTTTTGCTATTGTCAAAAAAGGGGAGAAATTGTTTTTGTTTATTTTGTTTTTTATTTGTTTTTTTAGTCATTTTTTATAGTCTTAATAGTCCTTTTATGTTTGTCATTGTTGTAGTTGTGTGTTTTGTATAAAAAATTATTATTATTTATGTCTCCTTATTTTTCATGTATTCATCAATTCAGGATGAGTTTAGGAGATTCTTAGAATTTGAAATCCTACAAATAATAATTGTTTTGCCATCATCAAAAAGGGGGAGATTGTAGAGAAAGTTGCTATTTGCATGTTTTACATTCTTGCAACTTGTATTATTTTGATGATTTCAAATATTATTGTTTTATATATCTCCTAACACTTTTTTGAAGATTTATTTTTTGCT